GATCTCGTAATAAAGGAAGAAAAGAAGAGCTTGATCCGCTCGAAGAGTTTCTCACCCGGACTGTGGCTTCTTTCTACTTATTAATTAGTATTGTTTTTATATTTTCTATGGCAAGCATCGAACAAGGTAATTCTTTTATCTTGACTTGAACTATATATATTCCTCTACAGAATGTTTTAACCTAGTTAATTTTTTGGATTCAGCTACCTCAACTAAAGCCCAAAAGTTTCGATTAGTGTTGCAGGAGTGTGTGTATATATATATATATATATATATATACCACTAGTGTGTTTATTTAGGACCACAGATGAATAAGGGAAAAAAGATATACATATATATATAGTCCTAATAGTTATAGGGCGGTCCATACCTAACTTCCTACGGAGTATAGGCTTATAATTCTTTTACAAAATATGTATTTTGTTCGTTCAATTTTATTTCAATTTCTCTAATTTTTGAAGTTAAAATGAATAAGATTCAATATTTTAAATTTTAGATGGTTTGAATATTTTAAGTTGTAATTTTTTTTATATTAGCATTATGAAAAAGTATATCTTAAAATATTAATCAAAGTTCATACCGTTTAAAAAAAATTAAAAATGTGTAAGTAAAAGTGAATAGAAAATGAGTGGGCAACTGCCAAAACTCCATAAGCAACCCTATAAGATTGATAGGGAAAGAAATTTGAGTGTACTTTGGGAAAACATGTAAAGTGATTGCGGATTGGCGGTAGCTTTTACATTTATGTAATGCAAATTTCACCTAAAAAACGCAGGCACTCATCTTTTTAAACCACTCTTATATAGTCTGATCAACCTTTTAAGCTGTACCTACATTAATTAATTTTAATAAAAGATAGTATTGTGCTTATACTTGCCGTTGGTCTTTTCCATCTTATGCATGTGCACGTTTATGAGGTATACACAAAACAAATTACTATAATTAGTACTCTCGTCATGTACTTCTTATTATTTTATTTTATTTTTAGATATTTCTTAATATTTTTCATTTTACAAAATCAATTTATAAATAACAATATTCTTCTTATTTTACCCTTGAGAGTTATTAGACTTGAAAGTTTTCCTTAAAACAAATTAATTTATGTTTATTTATTGAAAATTTGATTTCAAAAGAAGATATAATGATAAACTTATCTAGCTTCTTAATAAGTGTAAAACCTAAAATTATGATAGCTAAATAGGAATATAATATAGAAAACAAATTCTCAATTAAAGAAAATTCTTCAACTAGAAAAAGTAGATAGTACAACATAAAGTGAGCGATTACGCATGTGTTTATACATCATTCGTCCTATTCTTTACTTCGACAATTAGTGTCGATCGAGCATCTTCCCTTATTCTTTTTCGTGTTGGGTAATGTCAATATTCTGTCTATAATGTGAGAGGGGTTGGATTGGGTTAGATCGAAGTCACAATCGAATATAACGCTTATTTAGTGGGATTAGTTAAAAAATAAAATTACGTTATCATAGGATAATAGTGATTTTTTAGGAGTGAAAGATGGGCAATATTCCTTGTACCAGCAGTTTTATTTTGGATTTGTTAATTTGGTCTTAGGAACATTGTTTGACTTATGGAAAAGCACTTTTTTCCAGTTTATTGATAAATGCCCCGTTAATCTGTGTTTGCTGTTGATCCTTAAAAAGTTGATGAAGAAGGCTGCCTAATTCCTGCATATTCATTGAACCAATCTCGTTTTGCTTCTAAAAAGATCCTATTAGTAATAATTTACAAGTATATAAAATGGTGATGATGCGTAATTAATTAATACTACGATTAAGAGTATATAATAAGGATGCATGTGAGCTTCATCATTTTCCTATTCTGCTTAAACTCAATCCGACTTTTGAACTCACTAGCCTTCATCATTGCTCTTATAGTAGATAAAAATTAAAATATCATGGGGTCGTACGCAAAATTAATTTAAATGTTTTTTTTGGTCTTTTACAACAATCTCATTATTGAGTAATATTTCACTGAAATAAAATGTCATATAGTATGACATCCGACTAAATATCACATTCCACTAAATGTAATATATTTCAAAGAAAATATTTGAACTTTATGAACTTTTATAATGATTCTTTTAATTCGAGATGAGATTTTGGTTATCAAATAATTAAATAATTGAGGGTGATTTATGTACAAACATATATATATATATATATATATAGCTATGGAAAGAATGAAATACGAATAACGTGACATTGAATGAAATTTAAGTTAGAAAAATTATTAATAGATTTTTTAGTAATACGGCTATCAAAGTAGGTGATTGACAAAAGAGAGTTGTCAATATGTTAGAAAAATCATTAATAGAACTATTTTCACTACTGCTTGTCAATAGGTATATATATATATGTACACACATACATAATTCTGTATTTCATCTATTAAGATGTTTCGTTATTATTTCTCCTTCATTGGATTTGGAAAGAAAATAGTAGTACTCCTATCAAATATTCATAAAATCCAAATAAAAATAGTGTATTTCCCAATGAAGGAAGAAAACATAAATAAAATGAAATTAAATGGCAGTCGTGTGTGTGATTGCAAGAAAACAAAAGGAAAATCTTTAGAGACATCCGACCAAATGTGGTGGATATATCTTTATCAAGATTGCCTCTAAAATCTGTGTCACCTTAAATAAATTATCTTTGCCTAGATCTTATTGATGCAAAACTATAATAACTACTGTATAATTAATAAAATATAAATAAAACTAAAGAAGATTTATATTCCCTCTTATTTAAATTATGTAGTTGTTATTTTTAAAAATTAATTATTAATTTTCATATGTATATTTACTCAATAAATATGGGGGGGGGGGGGTTTAATGGGGTG